CATGACAAAAAAAGTAAATTATTCTGTTGATAGTTTGCGGGGTTGTTCCTTTTTATTTTGATTGATTCTGCTTTTTCCTACAAAGATGCTGAAATTGGCTGGTCGACTGGGATTATTGTACGGTAATTCACAACTGATGAAGAACAGTAAATCAAGATCTTTTTTTAAAAATCAGAATGCTGATTTGGAAACCTCATCCTTCCCTTATACTCTATGAAATAAACTGATTACATGTCTAAGGGACAGAAGGAAAAAGAGAGGAGGGTAAAATATAGAAGTGCATTTTTTCCTAGCAATGTCTCCCCAAGCTTTATAGATAATTAGATTTTTAAATATCTTCATGGATCACGTCTGCTCTCTATAAACTTCCCTGAGTAACTGTAGCTGAACTTGCATATTGCAGGTGCCAGATGTTTTGCATGGGTACCACGGTACATATTGAAATGTTGGTATCTTATTTTCTATGGTGTACTATCACTTGATTGTTTATTAATGGTTAAAACAAATATAACTGCGAACTAAGTAATTTTCCATATATTACAGCAAATAAGAAGGCGCTGAAAAGACAATTTGGCTGATACGCTGTTTTTAACTAACCCAAGATGATGAAGGTAAGGTGGGATGAAGAATGAGAAACAATACTAAGCTGTAAGCGGCCATGCCTGCCGGACTGCTGAGAATGGCTCTTCCTATCCGTTCAAATTGGTGGATCTGGCAAAACAAAATCTGAAACAAAGGCTCCCCCAGGTCCCACCCCAACAACCTGTCGGTGCTCCCTGGAGCAGCCCTGGTGGTTTCTGGCCCTGCACTAGAAATCACTCCGCAAGGAGACGGTTTCTGCTCAGCGCCGGGGTCAGCGCAGGCGCTCTGCTTACTGATCTTCACGGGTCAAATCCTAGCTGTACGGAAGAAAACCGGCTTTGTTATGAATCCTACCAGGTAAATAAACTACTCACAATGTCTTTTCTTTGGAATGTTAAATTTCTTTCAGATCCAGGGTTCAAATGAGTGCATTATACCACGTAGGCTATCGGTACTTTCTTTCAGCCCAGTAATGTTTAATATAATGGAAAATCTAATTGTTAAAGTGGAAAATTCTGAGCTCTTCAAAGTATTAAAGTAAAGGAGGGAAAACAAGTACTGTTACTGGCTCGATATTATAATCAGTTACTTAGATAAGGTGATTGCCTTAGACTAGGAGCCTGATTAACAGTATTATTTATTAAAAAGTCAGATTTGGATAAAATTGAATTGAAATGAGAACATTTTGCTAGTATGTCCAAAATAATATATATAGTCTGAAGACAATACTTAAACATTCTAAGGAGATAAACATCTTAATGGTCTCTCAACAGTACAGTGCTCTCTGTAAAACTTGACCTCAAATAATAATAGAAAAGTAATGCACGACCTAGTTATGCATGTTTATATCCTACCGACATGTGTGGGTGTTGTGTATAGACTCTAGTCCAGAGCTTGGCATTGCAACGGCTTTGATCCCATGGCTGTAAATTTAATGAGAACTTCTCAGTTACCACAAGGGGGCAAAATGAGGTCCAAAATACTTTGTGTTGTTACAAAAAAGAAAAAAAAAATCTGCTAGTGTTTGCTCTCATAACCTTTTAAGACATATATTTACCACATTAAAATTTCATAACAAATAAGTAAAACAAATAAAGCTACACTCATCCTGACACTATTTGAGTTCCAGAAAAATACCAACTAGATCTTTCAAGGTTAAGAAAACAATAAAATAAGAGTGCTCATTCAGTCTTGTTTTTTACTTGTGTGTCTTGAATTTGTTATCATTAAAAAAAAAAAAGTTCTCTTAATTTGAAATTGGCTATAAAGAAGAACAAAAACATAGAGAACAAAGCAGAACATACCATTTGATTATCACGATTGCATCCTGCACTTGGGTGCACGGTCTGTCTCTAAACTCTGACTCATCTGCCACCAGCAGGCTTTAAGGTGATAATCACCCACACAGAGCTATTTGCACATCATGTCTATCCTATCCTGTGCCCAATTATACCCTTTATAACAAACTGATTAGCATAATTAGCGGAGTTGTGCTTTACAGGAATAAAGATAGAAGCTATAGTTTAGAGGAGTCAACTTTTTGAAGGCATACATGTACAGATTAGTAACTTTAGTATTTGGTCACAATAACGAACATTTTGATGCACTGGTCTATGTAAAATTGTACAATCATTATTTTAGCAAGGAAAATAATGTAGTTTTCAGAATATTTACATACTGTAAATAAGCATTGCTCAAAATTATGAAATGGTTTTGGGACTCATTAATTGCTACCACTTTCACCAGTATTTTTCCAGACATGGCTGAAAAATGCTGAAAGGGCCAGCACTGGAATCAAGAATGCTGGAAATGACCAGAGAACCTATTATTCAACTGATAGACAACAGCAGGTACAAATGACCTTAATGGGAAAGCTCTGATTTTTTAAAAATTTTTTTTCTTCTCGATGAAAAGAAAGGATGTTTACTTAATGACCACTCTTTCTTTGTGTTCAAACTTTAAAGATGAGCTGCTTTAATACAAGATCCTTTGAGGAAAAAAAAGGAATAGAGAATGATACATATATGTGCACACAGGTAAATATATTTTATTTTTCTTTGCTTGCGAAAGCGGTCTTAGAAGTGTTAAATGAACCTCACTTGCAGTGGCATCTTCTTTGTATCCTGGCAGTTCAGTCTTCATAACCCCCCGCCCCAACCCCATCCTCCTTATATACTAGGAAAAGCTTGCCACACAAAAGCCAATACCCCCCGCTTCCCGCCCCGTTAGTGTTTGCTGCCAGGCAAAATAAAACCCAAACTGTATCTCCTGAGAGTAACTCCCTGTCCGCAGATGGGGAAAAACTCTGCTGATATGAACACAAACATTGTATTAGCATAGACAAAAGAAGAAATCATGCAGAATCCATTAAAGCAGCCACAACTAATTAATCTTGTTTGTTTTTATGTGTTAATTGTACTTCTGTTAAATTCTCTTAGACATCAGGATAAATTTATGGGTTCTATCCTCGTTTAACGATAATTCTGCTATTTCTATTTTATAGGAAAGATGTTCAGAACATTGTGCAAGTAGAACTATTTCCCCCCTGAGCTATTTAAGAAAAAACACACGAAAAAACCACGTATTTACTTGTGCTCATGAAGAGATGCTCATGCTTCATCCTTTCCAGGTGGGTAAAGAAATTTGTTGAATTCTACCACATATTGTTCCAAGACATTTACAGCAGATTAAAGATAAAGCATAGACTTGCAGAAACTCTCATACTTCCTATGGAATGTTAAGCAGAATTTTCTCCCTTCATAATAGATAAACTGTACTAATCACCCCGGTGTAAAATACAAAGAGGTCAACAATGCATCCTTTCAGGTCACCAGTGTTTAAAAGGTATTTGAGTTTCCCTATTAAGTTTTCAAAGGCCAACATCTGCTGATGCTCAGAAATGGTAGATGTGGTGACGAAGGCTGTATGGAGTGTGAAGTGAAAACACGACCATATAGTCCATGCAACACAGTACTAAGAAACTACAGCACGACCAAACTCCAAAGAGCTATTTTCCCGTTCATCCCATTTCTGTTATTAATGGCAGGAATATTCCGGAGAACAGTGACATAAACGTCTCTTTCATTTAGTTCATTCCTTTGGTTATAAAATACATGTATAAACACAAGGTTTTGAAAATAGCGTATCACTATGCATTTGCAGTCATGCAAATGCCGAAGGAGATACTACAGCGGGAAAATTACATTATTAAGATTGAGGGCTTTCATTTGCACGTTATTGTCATTGACGCTGTTTCACTATTTGAAGCTGCAAACCAGATGCCAGGGCATTCAGCTATTAACGCTGCTCTCATTTGCACGGAGGCTAGTTTTGATGGCATTTAACTTGCTGTCTAGAGCTTAACAAATCAGCGCCATTCATGAGCTGAAGTAAACTGAGCTGATTTATAAATTGACAGACCTGAGCCTGCATCATAAGAAGCGAGGCAGTTTTACCCAAATTATTAGAAGCTTTTCAGTTGGATATCAGGTATGGCAAATTGCATTTTACTACTGTGATATTTTATCATTGTGTTAGTCCTGCATCACACAAGTTGTGTTTAATGCCTATGCAAAGCTGAGGCTGGGGGGAATATTCTTTCAGCCAGCCGCAGCAGGATCCCATTTCTACCTGCCTGCTTTGTTTGTAATCAGCTAACGTGTCATGACTGTGTGCACTTCGCAGCTATGGAACTCAGCAAGACTCACAGCTGAGCTCTGTGCACTTAGTCCCTTCAAGTGTTTTATTTAATTAATCATCTATTTCATTGATATACTAGTTCTTTACATAACGGTGTTATGGTTTTGTTATAGTTTAAGTGTAATATTTTGGTGCTTTAATTGCATACAGGAAAGCAGGTTTTTGTGAAGGAACACAATTCTGTTTATTTTGTGGAGTAAAGCCCAGTTCAAAGGCTGCTGGAGTTAATGCAAAGATTCCAGCAGGAACACTGCATTTGCTAAGCTACTTCATAAAAATGAACACTCTTCCATTTATAAACTCTTCCATTTGCTCTTCGAATTTACACAGACATATACTCGCATGAAAATGAATGGTCCGATACTTCTCTGTTATTAGCAAACACTTTTTTTTTTTTAAAGATGCTCAACAAATATTTTCTGTGGAACAGTGTCTTAATTCTCTGTGTAACTCTCAGTTTTATAGCACTCAGTTTTCATCTGCTGATCAGAACCGATCAGAAAATCTGCAGTTGACGGCAGATGTGTTGTCCGGAGCGACATTCTCTCTGACCACGTAGTACAGTTACATGTTAATGCGACAGAGGAAGGCCAATACGTAGGCCCTGCACTACAGAGCACATTTTCAGAGAAACATTATCTATAACAGAAAGGGATGTTGGGAAATTAGATCCAAGAAGCTGAATGACAATGCAAAACAATACTGGTTTTATTACTTACTACCAATACTGGAAATACTGGGTATACCTGTAGAGAAAGAAAACACAAAAAAGTATAGTTAGCTGTTTGCTGTAGTTGGCTGAGCTATTACATCTACAATTCCAAAAACAATTTTCTCCTAATTTTCAGAATATTATATCAATACATAGTTAAACCCAAGCAACTGCCAATATGTACCCAGCCCTTTATAAATGCAGAGTCTTCAGATTTTTCAGTATGAGGCTGCAGGGACCACTAAAATGTATTGACAGATGGGTATTTCTGGGACCTACACCAGCTCTCTGAACTTCATGAATTTGTTCAGAACAGTTTTGTATTTCAACTAACCAGCCATTAGGTTTAATGCTCTAGATAAAAATACCAGTCATGCATGTATTATGCAGGTCTAGGAGAATGATTTAACCGAGGGATAGATGCATTGCTAAGTGCTTTGGCCAGCTGCTTAAATCAGTTGATACCTTCTGTTGCATTAACTGTATATAGCTATTTTTTTTCCTCTTTTACCTGATGGTTATCTGAATTAAGCGATGGAAAAGAAAGGTAATTGAGCGAAACAATCTAATGCTTTAGGTTGGTCATATTGACTAAGCCTCTCATTGATTTTTTTTTTTTTTTTCTTTTTTTCCTCCCCCCCCGCTTTCATTTCAATTCCTAAGCTGAATGAATGCAAGGAAACAGTTTCAGAGGCAGGTGAGATTTACCAGAAGAGGTGGGGCTGCTGAGGAGTAAAACTCCTCTGCTGGATTAGCAATGCGGGGGCTCATGTTGCATGATGCAGTCCCAACATGTAGCTTGTTGTCAGGTCTGCCCTGAAAGGTATGTAGCACAAAAATATGGACATGAAATCTTTCCTGAAATGCCATTTTCTTTACATTAAATGGCATTGCTAATGGCACTATTGCTAGTCTCTTGGGTTAAAGTCACAAATTACAGATTGGTATTTAAATCCTGGATATTTGCATCCTCTTAGTTAAATACAGTTTGCCTTTTGTAAGTTTTATTGACTTTTGATGGCATGCATTTTACAGCAGAAATCTGTCTGTTTCTCCATTAAACATCTGCTATACTTCTTTCAACATCTGTCTTGAAGTTCCGTCTTCCTCTGAGATGGTACGGACCTCATTCTGCAACTAAGCAAACTGGAGCGAAGGAATGTCTGGGGGATAAATGATATTCGCTGTAAGCAAGGTTGTAAAGTCAAGTTGGGAACATTGCTAACTCGTGGCACGGCTAAGACAATGCTGAAGTAATTGCATTTGCAGAATGGCGACCATAAACAGATCTTTTGTGTTTCACCACACCAGTCTTGGGGCACGTGTCAGAATCGCAGCTCTCTGGTTTCATGTCCTGTGGAACCTGTGGCCTGGCAGAGCGCCGGGCACCGCACTGGAAACGGCACCTGCTGCTAACCGAGCCCCACACTCAGATGTTGTTTGCAAACTTAACTGTTTCTACTTCTGCTGAGATCAACACATATTTTCCAAAATTTTAGAATCATGAGACGTTAAAAGCTAAATAAAAATATCATCATAATAGAACAATGCTGTTATAGTTCTAAAAGTAACAAAAAGTGCTTTTTTCAGGTAGGATAATGTAAGAGAACTTCTGTCCCTTTGTCTTAAATGTCAAAAAGGCAATCGACTGTCAAACAATTTTCCCCGAAGTTTCAATAGCAGCTTGTTTACATTTTTGCAAGTCATTGTAGCTGTTTTAAATTAGCAGGATTAGTTTTCCTTTATACACTGATGGAAACTGCACACATATTAGATAAAATAGAGATACCGCGTTCTCGCACTCACACTTCCACTGTGAAATGGTGTTTGTGTTTCCTCTGGGTATACTCCCCCGCCTCAAACCTCTTTCTCTCCTACACGCGCATACAAATATCCTTTCCTTTCTCTCCTGAACAGATTGTAGCAAAGGGAGAGGTTTTCCTGCAAGTCTGCTCTCTTCATTTTACTGTATTTCAAAATTTTCAATGAATTCATAGTGATAAATGCTTCCTGGGCAGAGAATAATGAAAACAAGACGCCTGCTAGCCTAAGGGCTCTGTATTAACCTTGCAAAGTTGTCTTCGGGTTCTGTTTGAAAAAGCTCTTTTTCGATTTCCGGACTGAGTTTCTGGGTCGGTGCGATCTTCTGTAACCAGCTTGATTTTTTTGTAATACCAGGTATCCCTGTGTGTGGTGACTGGCCTTGACAGTGCACTACTTTATGCCCTTTCTGCTAAAGAGAGTGAGAACGGCACATCTAAGTTTGTCCGGAGAAGAGCTGGTTATGTAGGGCCACGAAGCAGGATCTATTAACAGTCTGTGAAAACTGCACATGTGATGGGAAAATTATTCTTAGTAAGAGTGTTTTTGTGAGATCCGGAGTTACAGATTGAGGCTAGCTCTTGAATTCAGCTGAACCGTATTTGGTACCGCGGCACAGGAGGTGCGATTCTGCCTCTCCCTCTCTTCTCAAGGTGGAGGCAGGCGGGGACCCGACCGCACGGCTCCTCCCGGGGCACCACTGCTGGGGACACCCCAGGCTGTGGGGAGTCATCCCACTGCTGCCGGCCCTTTGGATGGAAACTGGTACGTTACGTGACGTGGATCGTTTCCAGTCAGCCTTCTGCTGAAATCTGTGAGTACTCTGCAGCAGTGAAATGATGTGAACAGGTTATAGAGAGAGATGAAGAATCAGGCCCATGACTTCCCTTGATGCACAGCTCTAGTCAGCTAGACGTAAAGAGTAAATAAAACCAAGTGACTGCGTTTATGTATATTCAACTGTTAAACCAAAGCAATGTTCAGTCTAAATTATCTTCCAGTTGAAATCACTGGGATGGTTATTAACGGTAATAGTTTTATAGCGAGGAAACAGCAAGTAAAGCGTACAAAGAAAGTTCAGGGGTAGCTGCTGCCCCCGAAATGGCAAACATTGCAGAAGAAAGTCTCTAATACTATTTATTATTTTTGACTTGAATTGAGGGTGGTGGTTTGGTACATGTTCACTGTAAGTGCATCTAAATATACATGCGTTACTTGAGAGAAGAAAATCTGGTGTTTTCTTTTCATATGGTCTTCTGCATCTGCCCTGTAATTTTCTTGTTTCCCCTTTTTCCAGAAATGGGTTGTTTTAGCTATTAGCTACCATGGAGCTGACTACTGAGAATGGAGAAGTAAGCAAATCAGATGCTAGCAAAGAAAGCAAGTTTTTGATTTCTTCTATAGTTTGTGTCAGTTTAAAACCCGTAACACAAAGGAACAGCGTCGAGCTTTCGGTGAGAAGGGCGGCACCGCTGCTTGCAGTCTCAGGGCGGGTCATACCCTGCAGTCCCTCTCATCACCTCCATCGTCAACGCCTGTGTGTGCTTCCCGCCAGCAGCGCAATTAATGCAGCCAGGCTGCATCTCTTCCTGGGCAGGGAGTACGTGTGGGATGAAGGAATTATTCTGTCAACTCGGTCTTGGCTACCATCTTTCCCATGGGCTTCTCTGCCTCTTCTCCAACACAAGTTGGACGTGCACCTGCCGTATGACAGGGAGCCAGGGACAGACTCCTGCTGCTACCAAAACACTACACCCAGCTCGCAGCTCGCTCACAGTCAGGGAAAGAATCTCACCAAGAGCTTGGTGAATTATCCAGGTGAGGTGAATACAGCCCGGAGACTGAGAATTAAGACTGCCTCCTATGAAGGCATGGCAGGATTCGATAGTAATGCAGTGCAAGTTTGAAATCGTATTAATTGCTGATCAAAGCTGTGTGAGAGCTAGAGCTTTTCTGACAAAATCCTCGTAATTGCACTCTACACCGCGCATTTCAACTCTTACTCTTGATAATGCAGTGCAAGTTTGAATTCGTATTAATTGCTGATCAAAGCTGTGTGAGAGCTTTTCTGACAAAAGAGACGTCCTCGTAATTGCACTCTACACCGCGCATTTCAACTCTTAAACAGGAACAAAATACAGAGCTGTATTCCATAGCAAAGAGTCAGAGCAGGGCTGTTAATGCCACATCTGATCTTTTGCTAGAATATCTGTGCTGCAGCATGACAGCACTCCCTGCAGTGAGTCTTTTTTCCCTTTGCAACTCCTCCACTGAGGCATGATTGCAATAGCACATCCTCAGCATCAATTTCAGAAGTTCTGAATTCTCTGGTAATTTTAGCCCTGAGAAGCTGGAGGAACCTAGCATCTTGTAATCCCTCAAAGGGAGTGACTGTTACGATCATAGGAGTAAAGTTTTCGTGTATCGCCAAACCAATACACAGTGAAAGACACAATTCTTAGGAAATTTCACGTGTTTCATTGCAAGAGTCCTGGAATTCCTGCTGCCGTTAATTTTGCAGTAGCTTGCTCTGTAAAGGTTGAACATTTTTCAACTCCCGGAAAAAGAACTGCTTAGATGAAGTTTGTTATCCTCCACCTCTGCCTTCCCAAGCAGTATCACCACAAATAAATGGGACAGAGAAAATATTTAGTTATTGATTTATTGGGTAACACCTTTTAAAATTTGGACCTTTTCTCATGATGTTTTTTTAGTGACTCCAAACCAGTTTTGAAAACTCTCTCTCTAGGAAACTCCCAGTGAGATCAAAGGATTTTTTTCAAGTAATCATAATTTATTGGTAGAATATTAGAAACTTCAAAAAGCCTGGAAGTCAGACCATTTCTAGAACTTTGAGTATCTTATAACAGACACTTTGCCTTCCCATACTGCTGCTTACAGACTAGAACCCTCTTTCACTGCTCCTCTTCACTGTATACGGCAAAAATAGAGTTGTTTGAAACCAGTGACGGACAGAAGCAATTCCTTTCCCAGCAACAGATACCACCATAACCAGCACAAACAACCAACTCAGCAGGGTCACGCAAGAGGATAGAGTGCTGAAGAATAATTTTTCAAGCCTCATTTTAAAATATACAGCACGTTATTTACAGTGCATTGGTTTTTAGGTATGTACCTGCAGTGTTTTGCTGGCCATTGCACTGGATACCTAGTTGGAGGGAAGTTAGTTCATCATTTGCAGGTTTTCCTGAC